CAATATTCATCTTAAACATACAACAATGTTTATACAACTAAGGACAGCTGTACAGTTAAAACTGGTGTGGGTAATTCATGTTTACTGGTGTCTTCCACAGTAAATGTATCCAGTGTAGTGTAAGATACATATAAAATGTACTTCAACACTTGCATACATGGATGTCGGAAACCCATACCAGTAAGGCTTTTAAGGCACATACACATTGGTGAATGATGAACTGTACTACCTGAACAGAATCCATATGCATTTAGAAGCATGTACTGTATTAGAAATGCTTCCTCACAAAATGAATTTGCTTCTGGAAATAACTGCTGTGATACTGGGGATTTGCAAAGCAATCATAACACATAGAACTAGCTTAAACAATTCTGAAACCATTGTCAGCAAAAAGTGTAGTTCCCGTAATTTCATTTACTTATTACATTAATATACTGCCCACATAGTGGCAAGCTGCTACTCTGGATAATTTACTACAGTTAAAACAACCCCACCCACCCACTATAACCACTGTTATAACCACTGCACCATACTGGCTCTGAAGGCCATTTCACCATCTTTAACACTGGAGAATGTACATTTCCTTAAAATGACAAGTAGAACACCAGGCATTTATTTTAATTCTTAAACCAATGCATCTATTCTCATCATTTGTCTCTGGGCCACATACATGTTGCCAGAATATCTAAGGGTGCAGTTAAACTACCCCCCCCCCAAAAAAAACCTCCTGTTTTTCAATCCAGCTTAGTATGTCTGAAAATTCAAAATTGTCTGCCTACATGATGTACTGGGAAGCATGGATTTATTTTGATGGGAAGTATGAGTTTTTTTGTTGCAAATCAAAGTTTTTTAAGCAGCTGCCAAGGGGCTGTTTATTTTAACTCACTTGTGAAACTTTTTATTTTGAATCATTTTGGTATATGTGAACACCTCTGTGAGAGTACATTGTGTCTGTGAGAGTCATAAAATATTAGAAGTTAGGATTATGGGTTGAACACTGTAATGGGGGATAAATGTTTTCAAGATATTTTTTTTAAATTTAAGTGCCACATCACATAAGCACTTATGCAACGCAGTGGTACATTTGAATCTTAATACAATTCCCCTGCTGATGTGCCACCTCCAAAGCAGTCACACGTGCTTGTGGAGATGAAGAAATGGGGAGAGAGAAGAGATGCCTCTTTTCTTCTCAGGTTCTCTCCCCTCTTTTCCCATGCCCTGCGTCAATAGGAACACCCATCCGTTTTGGGTTCGAGAGAGAGACAGAGACAGAGACACAGACAGAGACAGAGAGAGAGAGAGAGAGAGACAGAGAGAGAGAGTGGGACTGGTCTATGTGTGTAGGGTGGGGGCAAGCATCCATATGTATGTTTGTTTCACTTTATTCTATCTGTAATAGGGAATGATCACTATCCCACTTTGAAATAAAAAAATATAAAGCAAATATTAAAAACAATACCACAGCAGCAGTAGTGAGTGGCTGTGAGAGGCAGCCAATACAAGAACAGGAAAAAGGAAATGTAATTTCCTAGACTGATTGAAAAATTGAGCTTAATACAGAATGAAAAGTTTTCGCAAGGGACACACACAGCAACACAAAACCCATGTGACTACCACATGACATTATAGCAATTTCAAAAACCCTGATCCAGAATCCAAAGAATTTCACTAGTGTAACCACACCTTAACTTAGTTTAATTATATAGCATGTTGACAATCTGCCATTAGTAAATCAGGAACACATGAACACAACTCTACTCATCAGAACAATTTCCAAATCTATTGCAACAGGACTAAATTGGAATCTCTCTCTCACTTGCAAGTTGTAATTGACACGGTAGAAAGAACTTCACAGACATGCAGGAGAGAAGGTTCCCAATATAAGTAGCATACTAGCTGATGGTTTCAAACTGGACTTAGAGGAATACCTGGTACTGGTACTATACTGACTTTGGAGTCTATTCCATTTTTAACATGAAATAACCCGTAAGAACAATCAGAGCTAATGCTGGCTGACTAGTCTCCAACAGGCACCATCTATTCTCTCACAGAAAGGGATAATAGAACAGACACCACAGCAGACAATTACACATTCTTCTTTGTACAGACACACCAAGTTCTTATGAGACTTGTTTATTTAAAAACTGAGTACTACAGAAGCTTTGCATTAAAGAAAAGGATCTTGTGGGCTGTACACAAAGAACTATGAAACAAGGTAGTACTCTGTTTCATCAAATACCCTTATTTCCTCTAAGCCCCTTCAAAGATTCTCAAAAAAGATGGCATATGATAGTTTATAATAATTTGACTATTTGAAGCACACTGAATAACAAATGCTAATTTGCCACAGAAGGCACACATTTTAAATTTGTATTGAACACTCTATCCACGGAATTTGAGGACAAAGAAATACAGTTAAGATAGTGGGACAATGGAGGTTTCACTTTGCAGGTAGTGACTGAAAGGAGCAGGTAAAAAACTACAATAGGTCAGGGCTGTTGGGTAAGATTCTTCATGTGAAACAAAAGTAAAATAGAGCCTTGATCACAATCTTTTTGGGCCACATTTTATTTACACTTCTCAGTTGAAAATCTGTGATCAGTTTAAGGCTTTAAATACTCATAAATAAAGGAAAATAAATAAAATGTGGCCCCAAAAAAGGCTGTGATTGAGTAAAAGGAAATTCCCATTTGATATATTTGCTAGAAATGAGAAATACCATATCTCACAATAATTAAAGACTCAAAATATAGTAGCTGAACAGATAGTTGTGGAAGAAATTAAGATTCCAATATAGCAATAAATGCATGAGCCTCAGGATGTAATATCAAGAAACAGATGTACATTAGTAGAACAAAAATGTAAAGGAGATGAATAAGGGAAGGAGAAATTCAGTTCAACCAGAACATTTTAAGAAATTAGAAACTATTAAGAAACAGTGGTTGTTGTGGGTTTTTCGGACTCTTTGGCCGTGTTCTGAAGGTTGTTCTTCCTAATGTTTTGTCAGTCTCTGTGGCCAGCATCTTCTGAAGATGCCGGCCACAGAGACTGGAGAAACGTTAGGAAGAACAACCTTCAGAACACAGCCAAAGAGCCCGAAAAACCCACAACAACCATTAGATCCCGGCTGTGAAAGCCTTCGCGAATATATTAAGAAACAATACAGACAAAGCAGAATTATGAAATGAGGAAGATCAGGTTAAAGAAACTGTGGTGCAGAGTTAACCTGAAAATTCCAACTGCTTGCAACATAACATGACCAGTCAGAAGAGTGAAGAAACAGGTTTGAATCAACATAACCCAAATCATCCTATAAACCGCTGAACTGTTAGGGCTTAATGCTAATAGAAAGTAATACTGTACATATATACTCTACACATGAGATGGAAAATGACAAGTGAGCACACCTTAGTAGCTCTTCCCCACATTACAGATTCTAATCAGGGCAGACTGAAATGTATGGCAAAAGAACAGCTTTCATCATATGCCCCATTCTTAGGAATAGAGAAAGAAATCCCATTCATTCATTCATTCATTCATTTAATTTATTTATTTAACTTAACTTATATGCCGCCCACACTACCCGAAGGTCTCTGGGCGGCTTACAGCATTTAAAATACAATATTTTAATATTTAATATTTCTATGACCTACAGCAAATTTCCTCCTAGTCACATGTATTTATGGTACAGAAGGGATTAATTTATTAAATCCTCTGATTTAACATAAGGTCAACTCATAAGTCAAAAACACAATTACCACAGCCAAACATAAATCACCTTTCAGTTGCTCTGAAACTATGCAAAACCTGTTGGTTAAGTTGTGCACCAAATTAACGTTGGGTAGTGGAGTCAGATAAACTTTTCCCTTACCAATTACTAATGCTGACTATGAAGTGAAGCTATTTCTTCCTGAACCAGTTCCTTGAAGAACACACTTTACAAGCAGTATTACCTGGGCATAGCAAATTGTGCCTACGTGCCCAACAAACATTTGCTACAAATTTCACCAGGTACTGAACTCCTCCTGCTGACACAATAATTCTAACCAACAGCAGTCAATTCCCACGACCTCCATCAAAGTCAACAGATTTTCAACCATGTTACTGAGGAACAGGCATTCACATGAATGCCAATCCCATAAATTGGGTGCAGCATGCACCAATTTTTACCACACATAAAATAAACTAATAAAGAACCTAATATGCTTAAAATCAGCACTTAGTCCTGTGAAAGTCAGTGATCCTTCATTACACAGCAGCTACAAAGCAGATAAAGAATTTTTTCCCGAACCCAACTAGATGGCATGCAGAACACAGGATTTTCCACATTCTTAAAAGTTTCAAAACAGTCCTTGGAGCTTCAAAACTACCTAGGGAAGTGATTCTGGGAAGCTAAGCGGGTCCTCACACCATCTCCCCAGTTTAAGCGTCCGTTCCTACGACCTCAGGCGAGAAAACATACCAGTGTGCCAACAACATCCTCTTGTTCTACCATGATCTATTCTAAGCGGTCATTCCATTATTCCATACCTAAATGTGCGGCTCTCTCACGTATGCAGATATATTCACCTGCTGTCCCGCTCAAAGAACACGACAAACTAATTAACGTCGCACTGCCAACGCTCACCTTCCCCACAGGGAGACGCCGGAGCTCAGACCTACCTCAGCCACAAACACATCACCCGGCCTAGCAGCCTCGTCCCCTCATATCCTAGAGAGCAGGGCTGCCGCCGGTTATTCTGAGGTTATCCCACTTCACTCCCTCTGCACATGTTCAGAAACACTGTCTCCCGGGCTCTAAGATTTAACTCCGGCGTTCAAAAGACGTCAAGCCTGGCCGCCTTTGCTTCCAGGGTCTTCCTTCGGTCCTCACAGCTGCATCTCCTCAGGTTCCGCGTCCCTCACCTCCCGCCGCCAAGTCCCCGCCAACTGGTCTGCTAGGGCCGCAACCCCTTTCGCTCCACTCGGACAGAAAGGACCCAATTCACCCACTCTCTCACCTTGTGAGTGTTGTTTCTCAGCGCCTCCAAGTCAAAGCCACCGTCTCGAGGGCCACAGCCGGCCTCTGACTCCGGCTCGTACGTTCCCCGCCGGACCCGCAACGTCCTCGTTCCGAGCCGGAGTTCTCGGCCATAGAGCGGAGCCGCTAAAAGCAGGAGGATCCGAAAGCGCAGCAAACCCCTCGGCTCCATCTCCAGCGACAACAATCGCCACAAAACTCTCTCCTCAGAGCTTGGGAACGGCTCACCCGTTGTCCCGCCCGCTAATGCCTCATTGGGTCGCGCCGACCAGGTACTTGAGAGCTACTGGCTGGAAAAAACGCCAATCTGATCTACCTTCAGACAGCGTCCTGCCTCTTTTGGCAGCTTCCTTCCAATTCGTGCAAACGCAACCGGCCTCTACCTCCTAAGTGGGTCACAGAGTTGCCAGTCGCAGCATAGCAACCAACCTTCCAACAGGCCTTAGCTACGCGCAGCGCCAACTTCCTCCCTTTCGAGCCTCTAGCTCGGCAGCATCACCCCACTTTGAAGAGCACCTTGCCCATTGGCTGATTGCCTGCAAGCGCTTCCCCTTGCAGATCGTCGGAGCACGGCTAGTCTCCTCGCAACCGCGCTTTCATTGGCTGGAATGAAATGCCATCAAGCTTTTTTCTTTCTTTTTGGTTATTGGTGGAAATGAGAGACAAGTCTCGTCCTAGCAGGGCAGGGCGAGGGGCGTGAGCTGGCCGGGCGGCTGACCGGCCTCTCCGAGAGCCGGTGGGAGCGCTCTTTCCGACTGTATGGAGTGGTGGCGAATGTTAAAGGTTGACCAAGGCAGCGAGAGGCTCGTATTACGATTTTTCATCTGTCCGTTACAATATTGGCTTACTTACGAGACACCTGTTGGCCTTCGCAAGGAAAAAAAAAGCTTGGAGTAACCTCTTCTGTCTGGATCTCAGTCGTAATACATACATACAGGACGTGGAAAGGTTATTTCTTGGACTGCAATTCCCAGAATCCACAGTCAGTACAGGAATGGGGGACCTTCAGCCCTGATGTGGAAATTTCTGCGAGTCATAATTTAGAAAGTGTTAACTTATAGAGAAAAAAACTATAGTTGCTAGTGCAAATACGAAATACATTCTGTTATGCATGCAGGTTTTTGCTAAAAGTCTTGTTATTTAGATGTATTTGATTGGTTTTTAATAATGGCGACTACAACAAAACCTGTGGAAGATGAAACTGAAGAAAGGTCATTGAATCAGATTATAGTAATAGAATCATAGAATTGCAGAGGCCCTGGAATTATTAAATCCAACCCAACCCCTGTGAAAACTGGAAAAGCAATAAGAGTAATAATATCAGAGCTTGGAAAAGTGCCTTTTAAAAAGAACTATCACCTCTCAGTATTCATTGCTATGGGTTAACTGCGTTGTATGCATTATTTGCAGGCAAGTCTGCAAGAACAAAGCATTCCCACAATAATATTTGCCTAGAATCTTTGGTGTATAAATCTATGAGCTCCTGTTTAACTGTGGGTGGCTTCACTTTTTGGCTAATCCCATAAAAAGGTTTTTTTTTTTTAAACAAAACATGTCTTATACTGTATCTCTGGTTGTATAAGGACTAGACACTTAGAGTAATGCTTAGAATCAAGTACAGTTGACAAGAGGCACGGACACATTTAATATCTGGTAGCATGGAAACTTCAGAGAAAGTTTATGTTAACATGTTGAGAAAGTGTAAGATATTGCAGTAGGTAGAAAAAGTTAATTAAGATGAACCTGAGTAGAATTGCTCAGTAAACATCTCATTTCCCATCAGTCCCCAGCCCTCCTCTAACCAGAAGTACTCCTTGTTCTGGAACATACCTGACTTGTGTCTGGTCTTTGTTTCCCAATACAGGTATTACCTGTTGCATCTTTGTACCAGAATTTGTCCCAAGAACATGAGCTTATTAGCATTCAGTAGGAAGTAATATTGTCTCCAGCTGAGGTCATGTTTAGGTGCAAGTTGTGTGGTTATAGCGTCAAGTCAAATTATTATTCATGCCTTCCTATCTATGCTTTGCATTCTGTCCAGCGTGACTTTTCAAAAAGCACCTGTTTTGATGTTTTAGTTGATCTTGATAAAAGCAGTGCCAGGTGTTTTTTTGTTGTGGACAAATATAACTGCCTTTGCTTTTACTGACCCTGCCAACCTGAGACAATAAATGAAAAAAACACAAGACAAGCCAGTGAAATTTGTAATTTGTTGACTTTTAGAAAATCTCTATTTCACCCTTGAGTTTTAAGCTAATATTCCACCCCAAAAACATGCATATAGAAACCATGCTGCTTAACTACTTATTGACAAGACAGAAGTGTACTGCTAGACATAGGATGTGGTTTTATACTCCTTTACCATGAAGTAATTTCTATTGGCCATGGAGACTCACTGGGAGAGCTGAACTGGTAAAACAACTTAAATATCTCATTTACCTTTAAAGTTCTATTAGGGTCACTATAAGTCAGTTCCAACTTGATGGCACATTATTAACACACATGCTCTATTGATTGGTGTGGGATGGCCTGCACTATTAAAATCCATAGTTATTTTCAACATTTTAGTATACTGTACTATACACTATGGTATAGTAACATAGCTTGCTTCTTCATTGAATAATAGTTGCTCCTTTAGTGTTCTAAGGAAGATACTAGAGTGGAGAGGGTAGAGTGTTGGACTAGGACTCGAGGGAGCTGGATTGAAATGTGCCCTCAGCTGCGGTAAACCATTTCTTAAACAAGTCACAAACTGTGAAAAGCATATTAAGGTTAACGTAAATCAGAAGCAAGTTGACAAAACATAACAACTGCTCTAAAGGTAAATATCTCCTCTTAGAACATACAGGAACAAAGGTGCTTATTCTTTTCTGGTGCTGAAATTCTACTATATATTTTCTCAGCCATGTGACACCAGTTTCCTGAAAGAATTCTACACTAAACAAAACTGTCACAGAACTACTTATATATTGCATTTTGGAACTATCAATGATTTTTACTATCTTCACTCTTCATTGCCCTAGTACTCCCCTGTGGATCAACAGTTCTAATGGTAACTAAAAACAGGAGGAATAGGTACATGTTTCCTTATTATTCCCACAATACTGTACTGTATCAGTGGGACTTTGCAAGTTAACAAGTCTGAAAGAGTCACTGGACCTACTCTAGTCAAGACTTAAAACTTGATTAAGCTTGCAGTTCATTAAACAGTATGTTTTACCATTTATTTGCATATCTGAGTATTTGGAAAAAGCCAAGGGTCATAGCAGCCAGTTATCCAGTTGCGCATACTTGAGAGAAATGAGTGATTTGTGACAGCATCCTATTTATAACTGATGCAATATACATGCATTTTAAGTTATAAAAGTTACTGGGATCCATGTACTCTGTGTAACAAGTACTGTAGTTGGTTCCCAAACTACCAAACTCAACATCCGTTTAAACAATTTCCATTCCTATTAAATAGTATGCAGAAAGCTAGCTTAATCTTCCCTTAGAAATAAGCTATGGCTACAATCCTATATCCACTTACCTGGAACTGAATCCAGATTAATACAATATATATATATTTGTGTAGTCGTGTATAGAACTTTGGAACTGAATCCAGATTAACACAATATATATTTGTGTAGTCGTGTATAGAACTGCACTGTTCTAACTGTTCAACTTCAGCTGGGTCACACATGTTCATACATGATTCCATCCAAACCAGAAAAAAATGTTAAATTTCCATACAAATAAGTTAAGAGCAGCAAGGGATGATAAATCCTCAGACTGATTTTTCCCCCCCCGATAATTGGCTGGAGAGCAAGATATCATTCAGGTTCCACAGGAAATCAGAAGAGACTTTATGAACCAACCCCTTATTTAACATGTTTATTTTTACAGATACAAGGGATGGCTACCATTCAGTACATCTTTTTAAAAAAGCACAGAGAACAGCCAGGAGCTCAACAATTGGCTGAATGGTTTTTAAATTTGAGAATGGGCACAAATGAAGAGCCAGGAACAACCGTTATGTTGTGACACTAATAAAAGAGTGAGGTTGTACGAGTGTCACAAAATAACTGGAAAGGTAATAAGCATGAAAATGTGAACAGAAAACTAAAGAACATTGCAACATGAATCTACAGGAAAATGAGGAAAGGCAGTAGTGGCATGCAGCAAGAACAGACTGCTGAAATGCTATCTAGGTATTGCCCAGTATCATGGACAACAGTGGGGAGAAATAAAAGCAAAGTGTGCTGCACTCTCAGGGCAGTTTACAAGTGAATTATGCAGGCTACACATTGCACACACCCCCAGCAAGCTAGGTACTCATTTTAGTGACCTCAGAAGGATAGAAGGCTGAGTCAACCTTGAGCTGGCTACCTGGGATTGAACCCCATGTCGGGAGCACAGTTTTGGCTGCAGTACAGCAGTTTTAACCACTGCTCTATGAGGCTCTTCTTTCTTTCTTTACTGAAATAATCAGTAAAGAAAGAGCAATATTAGAGTAGTATTAGGAGTTTGTGGTAAAGAATACAGTAATCCAAGAAACTAGAGAAGCCCTTCCCAAAACAATGCCCTCCTAATGTGTTAGGCTGTAACTCCAAGAAATTGTATGTTAATATCCCAAAGGAATGACTAGTTAAAATGTATGTTTTGTAATAAACAAAGCAGAACATTATTCTATCATTCTATCCTGTTTTACGCAACCACTTTAGAGAATCTTCTGGATTGAAAGGAGGATAGAAATAAAAGTCAACAAGCAAACAGAATGGCAGAGAAAGCAGCAGGTGGCTGGGTTCTTGTTTAATCCAAGCATTTTTAAATGTTGCTAAAACTGTGCTGTCAGAGTGAAATGAACTGAGAGACTGGGGAAGAATGAAGATAAACTACTGACATTTCAGAGAAGACATGATCCATCCTGAAACTACTGTTCAGAAATAGCTTGATTTCAGGAATGCACTCCCAAATCCAAAGAAACCTGCTACCCTGTAGCTACCAAGTTTAATGTTTACCAGCACAGAGTATTTGAATTGACTGGGGAGATCCAAAAGACTACCAAGCTGACAAACAGTTTCTTTGTATTTATGTCTGTAAAGCCTTCAAATATGCAGCAAAGTCAAGAGTGCAGGCTGAAAGTGGTATGTAATAATGCTTTTAGTAAGGCATGGCTTTAGAAGGGCAGACTTGCATTTCTGCAAAATACTACCCATCCTAAAATAGCAATACGTACGTATAATTCTACCGTCTATCTAGTGCATTCAAGATAGCGTTGGTAGCTTTTTGCAAAAGCCAGGCATTGATAGGAAAGAGTCCTTGACTGAACATGTAATTTGTATTTCTTTTGTGCTGGCCATCAGCTACAGCAAATCTTAATACATTAATCTAAATCTGTAGTATGAAGTGGAAGCTAGAGAAGTCAGAAACAACATAAGTTATTATACGCAAAGCATTAGCCATACACAAGTAGATGTTTTCCTTTTATTAAAAAGGATAAGAAAATATAAGTATTTAATACTAAGATAACCTGCCCCCTATTTGGCAGGTGTTTTAAAAATATTTGACTACCATCAGCCATGGCCGCTGATATAAATAATTGAAGATGGTCTACAAACAACTGCTAAAAATATATCTCACATAAGTCTGTGTTGCATTTGTACTGGAATACAAAATTAAACAGACCCTACAGGGAGAAGAAAGTAGCACACTTGCTCATGTATTATCCAGCATTAGGAAGAAATATCCAATACTGTAGATAATTCAGGAAAATGTGTAAGAGAAAAGTATCTACATGAAAGGTATTTTTCAGAGTTTATAAACAGTATGAATCAAAAAATTCTGGAATAACCTTCCTCTGGTTATTCGTGCGGCCCCTATGCTGGGCACTTTTAAGAGTCAACTAAAAACATGGTTGTATGTTCAGACCTTCCCTCTTGTCAATATTTAATTATTTTTCTTTCATTTATTATTTGTTTTATTATTGTATGTGTTATGGACTGTTTGTAAAATTCTTATATTTTCGTATACACCTTATTGGAAGCTGCCCAGAGTGGTCGACCAGACCAGATGGGCAGGATATAAATAAAATAAAATAAAATAAATAAAAAAATAAGTTGCAAATCTTTCTAATAGATTGTTTACTATATAAACTGTGTTTCAAAAGTGGGGGGCAGGGGTAATTAATATGGCAGAGATTAAAATAGGTTTATTTAATTAGAGTATCTTATGGACTAAAAAGAGGAGATGCAATTTTTGAGATGTAACCTTGACTGGTTTGTACCACTGAAAAAGTGATCTTCTGCTCCTCAGATGAGAATGAAAAACTCTTGCTTTGAAAAAGAAAGAAATCATGGCGGAATCACATGGTAGCTGGTACCACCAACTGCACTTAAAACAGAATATAAAAACCCCTTTGTTTCAACTGTTTGGGAAGATTTTCTTTTTTGCGCAAACCAAACAAAGGATACATAAAAGGTACCAGTCTGTATCCTGAAGACTCTGGCATATTCTCTGCCAGAGATTATAAACAGTCTTCTTTTTGTAGAACACACCAGTCTATCTAGTTTCACTTGGCCTGTGATTTGTACTCTATACTGTACATCTTTCTTCCAAAGCATTACAGATCCACTGCAACATCAGCTGCAAAGCAAACCACCACTTATATGTTAGCCACTTACCTACCTTAACACAAGAGTTATTTTTCTTATTCCTCATTATACCAATTAACTAGAGCTGTTACAGCACACATAAGCATGTCTGTATAGACATTTACAACACCCAAAATGTCCTTTCAGCACCTGTTTACAGCACTGTGAGCCAGCTACAGCCAGCTGAGAGGAAGGAGCTAAGTGCCAGCATGGGCAGACCCCCTCAGCCACGGCAGAAGGGTTGTTGGCCTTGAAGGATACACCTGAGGCAGACAAGGGTGGAGGCCCTAAACACCCCCCCCTGGAGAAACGGCTGTAGCCGAGGTAGATATAGAGGCGAGTGAGCAAGGAAACACACACGGAGAAACAGCTGTAGCCAAGGTAGATATAGAGGCGAGTGAGCAAGGAACAGGACATTTGGGAGGACGCCTTTTGAGTTTCTGTCACCTTCTGGGAAGAGAGAAAATAGTCTGCCAGGGAAAACACTGAAAGAAGCTTCTAAGAGGTTTGCATCTCTGGAGGACGGTTGGCTTATCTGAAGGCAAGTTGAAAGCTGAGAGACAGAAGCTCCCAGGGACAGCCGGTGCTGCACAGCCTCCTCTGCTTGCTGGATGCCGTGCTGGGGGACTTGGCTGGCAAATACTATTTAACAGCCTGTACCTTTCAGCCAGGACCAGCTGCCACGGGAGTGAAGTAACTCCCTCAGAGTTGGGGCTCGGACAGAATATTTTCTCAGCCCTGGAAGGATAGAAAGCTACCAGTTCCATCTCTACTGCTTGAGGCTAGAGGACCCATCCTCCAAAGGACTACAGAGACACTGCTTTTCTTGTTTTCTTTGTATGCTGAATCCAATAAAGCTTAACTGATCACCAGTACAAGCTACCTCATCACAGATACAGCGGCTGGGGCCGCTCACACACATTTCAAAACATTTTTATGGCATTAATAATGCATGTAGCAATGTCTGTCAAGTTTTCAAGAGACAGACCATTCTTTACTTACTTGAATGCATGCATCCTACATAATTTCCCATTTACAGTATTCTAGTGCAAGGTAGAACCTACTACTTAGCAAAGTTCATAATATCCCCAACTTACTTTAGAAAAAACAAAATTTGTTTTTTCAAAAAAATTCAAGAGATCATGCCATAATTTTACCCTTTTGGTTATTAGAAATGTCTGATCTGCTACATTTGTTAATAGTTACTGATATGCATTTTGAATGAAAGTGGTAAGCTAGAATGTTATTGGCCTCTGGGTTTCTGTTCCAAAATCAAAATAAAATTAATCAAAGCCAGTTGGCTATGGTATCCAATATATATAAAAAAGTAAATCAGACAATTTAGCAATTCAAGATTTTAAAAATTAACAGGAAATCAATGAGTTGCGTGAATACAAATTCTATTTCTATCTAGGACAGAAGTATGTTCTTTTTCATAACACACAAATTAATATGTATTAAGTTTAAAACCTATATAATACCTCTGTCTATAAAATGATTTTTAGCATTCACGATACATTAACAAAGTGCATTATTTAATCTATTCAAAATTTGAAATGTATTGCTTGTTGAGACTGTTCCATATGAAGGTGCCATTTGAAAGCCTGGAAGTAAGTAGTCTGGAAGTGGCTCAAGACCACAGTATATCTGGAAGTTTAAGGACTAACAATGCTGTCCATAAAAGGAAAAGAAAAACAACCAAACATTAGAAGAATATGAGACACCAGCAACTACGCTGCAGAAGGGAAGTTCCATATAGTAATTTCAGCTGTAGACTATCAATGCTCATGTTTTTTAAACACTGTATTTGTGCTACACTGTATTTGGGTGTACAGTCTCTCAAGAGTGAAAAAAGGTGTGAGGGTCTAAAATATCTCCCACAATATATTTTCATGATGGTATACTGCTCTGATCCTCTGTCATTTTAATCTCACTGAATATTCGCGACTAGATAGGCGGGATATAAATAGGTATACTGCTCTGATCCTGTCATTTTAATCTCACTGAATATTTCAGAGCAGCCTTCCTAGCAACACTGATGTTATTCCTGTTGCTAGGGTGAAAAGACAATTTAATTTAACAAGATGTAACAGAAGCAGCAGTAAATTGGAGCTGCAAAGAGGACCTTGAAGCACCACTGCTTCATCAGGTATCAGGGAAGACAGGAATGAAAATGTGTGTATGGAATTGGTCCCTTTTGTGAATTATGAAAGAACAGTAGAAAAGGCAGATGACCACTATAGTGGGAGGGAAGAAGACATTTGCAAAATATGCTGTGTCACTTCAACACAAAATGTTAACCATTCCTCCCACTCCATAACTTTATTATACAAGAAGGACATAAGAGTAACAAAATGATTTATTCTCGTTTCCTCTTGTTGAAGATCTTTTTTATGTACAGAAACTGTAAAAAAATCTTTGCGCCTTTGTTTAAGAGCAGGCATACGTGCTGCTGAAATAAAGTTACGGGCACTGGAAAAAACTGAAGATTCAGTTTCCTGTGATCAAGGAATGAGGCAGTTGGACAGGTTCTCCCTCTCATCAAATATCTTTGATAACATCTTCAAGCTCTTCTTTTGTATACATGTGGAACTTCATCCCAGGTTGTACTGTTGCAAGCTGAAAAGACAGAGAAAAAATGTTACAAAATCCCTACATGTTAGGAAGTGACAACATTAGACACAGAGCAGAAAGATCACTGCACATAAAGCAGATGTTGCTGTTAAACTGTCTGGCTCACAGCTAATTCCAACTTAATATATACTAGTTCCCTAAAATAGGCACCTGAATAGTATGTTCTATTTCTCCATAACAAAAGTAGAAACAAGAAGTTTCTGCTATACATACCTGGATCCAGCTTCTTCCTTATCAGAGTAAACACAACAGCTGGGAGGTGAGTGAGGAAAAGCTTCATGTGAACAGAACCTCTGCATAGCCATGTGTTCCTAGAATGCCTGGTTAACGTTATGCTTAATTGCCATGCTGAATGAGAAGTGAGTGATCTCTACTTGCACACAAGGGTAATGTTCTCCCTTCTAAATGTATGACCAAACCACAGTTGGGAAATGTAAAGAAGAACTACTTAGATTACATGTATTCTTTTAAAATACGCAAAGAAGCCAGAAATACTTTGTGTGATTTTACATATAAGTTTCAAAATACTGAGAGTGGCTGGATAGCACAGAAGATAGATAATGAAGATATGTTACTTCCTAGCTTTTCTGTAGTACCATCATTGACTACTATTTAAGTAACGTTTAAAATGCTTTACACATGTAATTTCAGTAATCATCAGTTTCCATCTATGCCCAGAGTAAGGAAATTCCAACACCTTACTTCCACAGTAAGTGGAAGGCACAATGGTATTCATATTGCAGATTGGATTGTGGGTAATGAAACTGAAAGTCTGCAGGATTGTGTGCCTTTTTTATTTTTGTGCGTAGCTTAATTTAAGTGCTGTAGAAATAATTACCAGTCTGTTTCCAGTAAGATTTTGGAGGCAATATAACTGAGTAGGTGATGCTAACACAACTCTAACAACTTGTACATAAAAACATCTGTGTGGAAAACCCAGAAAGCTCTATGAGCTGGATGATGTAAGGGGTAGGGCCTTAATTAAATTGCATCCCTTCATCTAGTCCATTGCTCCCCTCAGTCACACTGATTCATGTTCCTGGACGGCAAATCCCAGAAGGCTTCACCAGCAGCTGTGCTGGCCAGCTTTTCAGGGAGTTGCAGTCCAAGAATGAGAATCAGGGTGGGATTCCAAAGCTGGAAATCAGTGCCCTAGTAGTTTCTTGTAAGCATTAAACAGCATAAAACCAGGCAGAACCTCACAATTCCATAACCATAATCATTGTGGAAAACAGAAATAATCTATTAGTACCATCTTCTAGAAACAGCTATCTAAAAGTAAGAATAGAACCACTGTAAAACACCTCCCCCAATTCAAACTGATCTAGAAGATTACCCATGGTCAAGAGTACTGAAAATTGTTCAGGCATCCAAAAGAACCAACATGATTATAATTTTTATATAGAATTTGCTGCCATGAGAATTGACAGTTACCACTTGTTTAAATGGCTTTAAAAGCAGTTTACATAAATTGATAAATCAGGCATCTATCCGTACTTATTAGTCGTGATGGTTGTATAGAACCGTGAGGTTCAGAAGAAGTTTCTTGTTCAGTGCCAGAGAGCTTTGTGTTACGATCCATGACAAATCTAGGCCACTTTGACATCTGGTGTTGGAATTTCCTTACTCTGGGCATAGATGGAAAACAACTGTCTTTATCAAGAGAGGAAAATTACATACCTCAATGTTAGTGGCATTCAGTTTTTCCTCCATAACTTGTTTTAGTATGATAAGAGATGACTTGATTGCTTCTTTAAGTGTCATTGACTGTTAAGAGAAATCATGCAAATTAAGGGTGAAGTACTGTATATTTCAGCTGCTATGTGGAGGCTACTTCAAATGTTTTCATGCAGCAAGCCATGTGCAGTAGCTTATCACTGTTTTCTCCAAAACCACAACAGCATACAAGAAATTTGCTATCATGTACAATAAATATTGGGGTCTATTTAGTGAAGCACTATGTAAGAAATGAGTGTTGAACAGTTTTCAATGGTTGTTCAGAATAAACTGATGAAAGTAATCACTAATCCTTTGAATAGTAATTTCAGAAATTTCTGCCCATAGATGAACACTACTCACTCCTATGAAAATAAGTATATAATTGAGATACATATAGCACGGTGTCCTGGTTAGTGTTGGACCACGATGCAGGAGACCTGGATTCAAATCCTCACTCAGCCATGAAACTGAGTAAGTGATATTGGGCCAGTCACACTCTCTCAGCTTAACCTAGCTCACAAGACTATGAGACTAAAATACAGTGGTGCCTCACTTAACGAGCACCTCATTTAACGACGAATCCACATAGCGACGGATTTTTTGCGATCGTTTTGCGATCGCATAACAATGTTTTTAATGGTAAAAAATTGCTTTGCAATGATCTGTAAGCTGTTTCGCTTACCAATTTTCGCATAGCGATGTTTTAAAAACAGCTGATCAGCGGTTCCAAAACGGCCGCCAGGGAAAAAATGGCCTCCCACAGTATTTTCGCACCGTTTCCTCGCATACCGGGCAGCGAAAATGGTGGCCGTATGGAGGATTTTCACAGAACGGTGAGTTTTAAGCCCATAGGAACGCATTCAACGGGGTTTAATGCATTCCTATGGGCTTTTTCTTTTCGCATAGCGATGAATCCGGATAGCGACGATTTTTCCGGAATGGATTATCGTCCACTGTGTGGAGGAAGAAAGTCATATATGCCACCTTGAGCTCATTAGAACAAAAGCAGTGGATAAATATAACAAATGAAAGGTTATTATAACTTAAAACGGGAAAAGCAACATAATATTGTCTCCCTTTATGTCTGAGATCAGAAATATAATACAGTGGTGCCTCACATAGCGACTGCATCGTATAACGACGAAAGCGCTTTGTGATGAAGATTTTGCGATCGCTTTTGCGATCGCTTTCCGATATTCCCTATGGGGAAATTTCGCTTTGCGATGCGATGGTTCCCTGCTTGGGGAACGGATCATGGCAAAGCAAACAGCTGATCGGCGCCTCGGGAGGAGGGAGGGAAGGAGGGGTGAAGGGCCTGGCCC